AGAGTAGCAGAAACAGCAGTATTATCAGCCAACAGCAGCAGCAGCAGTGCAGCAGCAACAAGCAGCCAGCAGCAGCAGCACCAGCAGCAACCAGCCAGCAGCAGCCCAGTAGAGCAGCCCGCAACCAGCAGCAGCAACACATAAAGACGCAGCAACGCTGTCCGCGTCGTGGCCCAGTGGCGGCGCGTTGGACACGGAAAGCAGACACAAAAGCTGGAGGAGGTACGAAAGTATCGTAATGACCAGCAGAAGCGCGAAATTGACTTCAGGCATCGTTCTGTGCTGAATGTCGGGATAAATGTCGGTATCTCATCGTTGACCTGCTGAGGTCACAACAGTCAGCGCTGTCGGTGATAGTCGGGAGTCATCGCTTGACCTGCCTGGGGGTCGTCAAACAGACGTCAGCCAGTTCCCGTGAATGTCAGTCATCGTTTGGACCTGCTGCGGTCAGTCGGTTGCGTGTCAGCAGGCTTGTGAATGTCGGAGTCATCGTTGACCTGCTGGGGTCAACAGGTCAGCAGGTGAATGTCAGTCATCGTTGACCTGCTGGGGTCAACAGGTCAGCAGGTGAATGTCAGTCATCGTTGACCTGCTGGGGTCAGCGGGGTCAGCAGTCGTGAAATTCAGAATCATCCGTTAACCTGCTGGGGTCAACAGTGTCAGCAGAGTCAATGTCAGTCATCCTTGAACCTGCCTGGGGTCACGGTCTCCCGGTCAGCCAGCCGTGAATGCAGAATCATCGTGACCTGCTGGAGGTCAGCGCGGTCAGCAGGTGAATGTCAGAATCATCTGTGGACCTGCTCGGTCCGTCAGCGGCTGTCAGCAGGCTCGTGAATGTCAAGAATCATACGTTGACTGCCTGGGGTCAGCGGGTCGGCACTGTGGTAAACGAAGCGCGGCTCTACTTTGTTCACTGCCGGCACGGTAGACCCCTGTGTCCGCGACCAACTATTACTTCCTGACTCGTGTTAGTATCATCGAGTTCGCTTCTAACGTTTGCGATGTCGAGAAAGACGACCTGGCAAATGTCGGACGGAAAGATTTCTCCGGCTGTCGACGACACTTACCTCGCATAGTGGCAAGAGGGACACCCTTTGTAGAAAGCTGCTCTGGTTTAAAGAGGGACTTCTTCAAAGCCTGCAAAGGACAGCGGCTGACGTTACGACGCGACTCACTGACGAAACGAATATATTATTAATATAATTTAAAGGGTTTTGATTGAATTATTAAGCAATTTTCTTTAATGGCCCAGCGCTGAGTGCATTCAGATGCGGCTGCATGTTGAATTACGTACGCTATCCAATTTTAATTACCAAAAAGCACTTTCGAGCGCATTTCCTCGGAACATTTTTCACAGCAATTACGAATAAAGGTATGTATTTACACACACACACACAACACACACACGCACGCATGCACACGCCAACATGCAACACGTACTGGATGCACCACACACACACACGGCACGTGCACGCAGCACGCACACATGCACACGTACGTATGAACACACACACACACGCCACGCACGCACGCCGCACGCACGCACACACACACACACAACGCTGCGCACACACACACAGAACGCGGGCCCTGTGCCGCACGATCTCCTACCATGTTACAGGTGGAGTTGAGCCGCCTTGTACTCTGCTTATTCTCCGCATCTTCCTCTGGCAGCAGCACCAGTTGCAAGAACCTACGAGCAACGAAGCTCGTGCCTTCAGTAGGAGAGAGACTACCTTGTCCTGCCCAGCTAGCAGGACCGTCACGCCCCACCTCGCCCCGCCCTGCCCCTCCCGCTTCGGCCCCGCCAGCGTCCCTGCCCGCCCACTTCCGCCCCGCTTCGCCTTGCCTGCCCCGCCCGACTTCACCCATCCAAGGCACTGCTCCTCCCAGCCGGCGCGCCCGCCTCGCCCGCGCCTCGCCAGCCTCGCCCGGCCCCGCCCTGCCCACCGCGCCCGCCTTGCCCAGCCTTGCCCCACCCTGCACCGCGCCCGCCTTGCCCCGAGCTCGCCCTGACCACACCTGCACCGCGCGCGCTGCCCAGCCTCGCCCTGCCCCGTCGCTGCACCGCGCCGCGCTTGCCCGCCTTCCCAGCCCGACCTGCCCCACCTGCACCGCGCCGCTTGCCCAGCCTTGCCCTGCCGCCGTGCACCGCGCCGCCATTGCCAGCCTTGCTCAGCCTTTGCCCAAAGGCCTCGCCCTGCCCCCACCTGCCCACCGCCGCCGCCTTGCCCTGCCCCGCCTTGCCAGCCTCGCCCTGCCCGCCCTGCCACCGCGCTGCCTTGCCCAGCCTCGCCCGTGGCCCCGCCCTGCACCGCGCCGCTGTGCACAGCCTCGCCCTGCCGCCGCCCTGCACCGCCGCACGCCTTGCCCTGCCCGCCTGCACCGCGCCGCCTTGCCAGCCTCGCCCTGCCCGCCCTGCACGCGCCGCTTAGCCCAGCCCCCCCCATCGCCCTTGCCCCGCCCTGACACCGCGCCCGCCTGCCCAGCATCGCCCTAGCCCCGTCCCTGCCACCGCCGCGCCTTGCCCAGCCTTGCCCAGCCTCGCCTCCCCACCGCCTGCCCCGCGCCGCCTTGCCAGCCTGGCTCAGCCGTGCCCAGCCTCGCCCGGCCCCACCCTTGCACCGCGCCGCCTTGCCCAGCCTTGCCCGCCCCGCCTTGCCCAGCCTCGCCCTTGCCCCGCCACTGCTACCGCGCAGCTTGCGCCTGCCACTGACCCCGCCCCTGCACCGCGCCCTTGCACACTGCCGTGCCCGCCTCACCGCCGCCTTTGCCACGCCGGTCGCCCTGCCCCGCCCTGCCACTCCACGCCCGCCTGCCCTGCCCAGCCTGCGCCGCCTGCCAGCCGCGCCCTGCCCCGCGCTGCCGCCCTTGCCAGCTCGCCCTGCCCGCCCCATGCACCGTGCGGCCTTGCCCAGCCCGGGCCAATATCAAACATCACTAGGAACGACGTCGGAATCGACTGGCGAAATTCTTCGGGAAACCAGTTGTTAAATATAGATAATACCTCTTTATATTATACATGACATGATACATACATTAAATTATACGTATACATTATATTACGTACAATATACGTACAATATACGTACAACATACTTATATTATACATACACGTGTAAATACATTTGCAAAAAAATCATTATGTGTAAATACATTATGTAAATATACACATATAAATGACGAGTGAGATTTATGAGTAGATTCCTACCTCTGCGCCATCTTCGCGTTGAGATTGGAGACGAATATGCGGCAGGCCTGGTACATGGCGGCGGCTGACCAATTATCCGGCTCCGTGATGTAGAGAATCTACAGAATACAGGAATAAACGCATGATCAACGACACCGCAACACACTGCTGGCAGCGATAAATGGATAAACAAGTGCCGCATTAGCGACAGTGCTCATCTGAGGTCTGCTGCTCTACTGTACTGGCCTTCGTTTCTGCAAAAGGTTGAAAGCCTGTTCTATCGCTAAACCGGCTACTACGTCATCATCAAAACTGTGTAGCATAGGTATTAACACTAAAACTAAACCCTAACAATGCATCCTACTTCATACCTGGTCGACTGTCTTATATATTCCTGTCATAATGTACGTATCACTAGGCCTATAGTTGCCGCGAGATGGCTCGTGCAAGAGTAATCAATAATCAAAGATGGCATCGCCCTTCGTGCATTAGTGATAAGTCAAGAAAGTAGAGATAACCTAATTCCATTGAGTTGCTGAAATTTACAGGCTAAAATCCAAGTATATTCAGGCAGGCGACAATTTCGCTCAGCTGTGAGTAATAAATTAAACACATCTGCATTGCAGGTGTGCATGTAACATGTTTATTAGAAAAGTGCCAGTTCACCCCCATGCATGAGTAATGGATTGCCCCCGGGTTTTTGCTTACATTTCGGATGAAGGTAGCCACGCGAGCATTCAGGGTGCTATTAATATACAGACTGCTTTAGAAAATAATATGATTTAAGGAGTGTAAACCTTGTTCAACAAACTTTTGTCTTTGCAATTGAACTGCAAATGTAGCCTCACATCCACACAGGTATGGGCTCTAATATTAGCGAAAGCAGTTCAGTCCTTTGTTAACAGTCAACAAATCCATGTTGAACCCTCCCTTTCAGAGTCAAAAGGTTATCAGACACTTACTCTTCGCACGTCAGTGGAAAGCACATTTCATGGTCCTTTCAATAAAGTGATAAAAATGGTAGGTCAGCGCTGAAACAAAAAAGTTTTCTTTCTGCACTCTGTCCATTAGGCCATGTCCTCAGAAAATGTCTGTATCTGACCTTTCCCCCCCTGCCCTTTGACCTGTGACCTCCAATTTCGCACTGGTGATGGGTTTCCTGCCCATCACACTATACACCGAATATTAAGAGCATACGTTGAGCCGTTAAGATTTGAGCTGCAATTTCGTATTTCCTCCTATACCTTAAGTTAAGGGGGAAATATTCCCTCTCCGTTTACACATCTTGACCTTTGACCCTTGACCCCCCAAATTGGTCATCGCAAGTTTTTTTCACAATCCCCCCCCGACGTCCCGAATATCGTGACCGTACGTCGAGCAGTTAAGATTTGTGCCCAACTGTTGACGCACGCACGCACGCACGCACGATCATGCGATTCTACAAGCTGCATCCGACTACGTCAGATGAGCTAAACACGGACTAAACACTTAAATGGTGCAAAACCACAGACTGCAAACGGACTGCCCGTTAACAATCACCTAAATAATAAACACGCAACACTCGAGATTAGCTAATAGTTAACACCGTTAAATCAGTAATTTCATTATTAACTATGTTAATTGTTAATTCTGTGTTTAGTACATGGGAGTATAAGTGTAATTAGCCGCCAATTTGGTCTGTTATAATCCGTGGCTCTCCGTGCGTTTTCTCCGTGCTTAGTCCATATTTTATCCATTTATTCCATTTCATAGTGAGAAACCACGGCACCACCACAGCCTGATGCCATCATCCTGTAACATTACCTCCTAGTGGTAGACTAGTGCATAGGCGATCGCTAAAGTAATTCACGTACAGATATTAGTGGGTGTGTACATGTACTAAAAAACCTCACCTGCTCCCAATTCGTCAGCGAGGGTATGATCTTGAATGCCTTTGGCAGCTTCCCGCCGCGATATCGAGACAGGATGTCTCGCACGCCGCGGTACATCTGTACGACTCGGTCGTCCAGCTGAGACATCTCTATGCTGGCGCCATCTGTGGACGAGATAAAGAATCGATTAGATTAACCCAGCACTTTCTCGTCGACCGTCGAACGCAGTGTGCACAAACGACGTTGACGGGAAACATGACCAACGCGTAAATGCACAAATGATGCACAAAACGACTGCTGACAACGACGCCTTTTTGGAGGATTTTGCAGAGTTAAGCGCAAGTGTCCAAGTGCATCTACAAAAGCTCATCAAATGTTATTGGTAGTTGATGTCACTTGATTTTGCCACCGCTGATTGATATACAGTCAGCAACAGAGAGAAGACTCACACAACAGGAAGGCCCCCGCAAAACAAACCGCGGCAGGGGAGGAACCCCAAGCAGTGAGGGAGGGAGACACCCCGCGCGGCGAGGGAAGGAGGAACCCTGCGCGGCGGCGAGGGAGGGAGGAACCCCAAGCAGCAAAGGAGGGAGGCACCCCGCGCGGTGAGGGAGGGAGGAACCCCGCGCGGCGGCGAGGGAGGGAGGAACCCCAAGCAGCGAGGGAGGGAGGCCCCCCGCGCGGTAAGGGAGGGAGGCACCCCGCACGGCGAGGGAGGGAGGTACCCCGCATGGCGAGGGAGGGAGGTACCCCGCGTGGCGGCGAGGGAGAAACCCCGCGTGGCGTCCAGCAAGAGAGGAACCCTGTGTGGCAGCGAGGGAGAAACCCCGCGAGGCGGCTGGCGAGGGAGGAACCCTGTGTGGCGGCGAGGGAGGAACCCCGCGTGGCGCAGGGGGAGGAACCTCATGCGGCAGCGAGGGAGGAACCCCGCGCGGCGGTGACGGAGGCGCCCCGCGAGGCGGCGGCGGCGGAGGCACACGTACCGTCGAGCTGCGTCGCGATCTCAGTCTGCTTCTCGGTGAGCTTGTCGCGGATGATGTCCGCCAGGTCACGGCGCGCCGGCGTCTCGCGCGACATGAACAGCTGCAGCGCCCTCTCATCCTCCTCGTCCACCTCCTGCCGACGACGCCGCGCACAGACGTTCACATGTTACGCACACGCACAGTTTCTATCGAATGTTTTTTGTATTATATGTGAAGTTTTATTTGCAAAACTGCTTACGTCCATTTTGGAGAATTGGAAGAAAACGACAAAAACAATTAATTGATACATGTGGTTTATCAATTTTAATTATATAGATGGTTATAGTTTCTGTAGATTGTATTCATATATTAATCATACATATATTTATATTATAATATATATTTATATATGTAGAGTGTTTTCATATATAAATCATTTATACATCTATATTATTATACATGATATGATATTATTATTATAATATATTATATATTGCAATCATAACTCTTTCCTTGTCGTTTTAGTAGTATGACGTTACTGTACAGACTAAGAAGGGCAAGAAGAAACAGAAGAAATCAAAAAAAAAGAAAAGAAGAAAGATGAATCAGAATGAGAACGAAAAAGAGGAGAAGAAAGAGAAGGAGAACGAGAAGTAGATTGAATAGGAGAAGAGAGAGAGAAGATAACATAAGAGTAGAAGAAGCAAACACAGAAGGAAAGAAGACGAAGATGAACGAACGAATGAATGAACAAACAAACTGACGAACCACGTGATCGTAGTATTCGTGTTCATCCTCGGACAGTTCCTCAGAAGCTGAGTCCTCGTCCTCGGAACCCGGGGCTTCCTCTCTGCCCAGCCTCACCGTCGGCCTCAATGGCTTCTTACTGCTGCAAGCAAAGATGCGGCGAGATTCATCTCAGGGAGTCAAGCTTAGCAGACGACACGGTAACCATGGCAACGACAAACGAGTAGCAATCACGCGTGAATGGAAGGTAATGAGGGGTAGAGGTTGGCTGCCTCTCTCCACCTCACCCGAGTCACCTCAACTAACGTGACTGAGCACTGATTAAATGAGTCATACATATAACGTACAGGTTTCACATGCTCAAATTATTTTTGGTCTGGCAAAGTCTTTCGGTCCTATTTAAACTTTGGTACAACTTTTTATTTTCTTTAAATTTTTGTTTAAGTACAACTTTACAGGACCGAACGTCCTGTTAAAATAAAATCTATGGGTAGCCCCTCCTGCATATACATAATAGGATTGGGTTAGGGTTCGAGTTAGGATAAGACTTAAGATTAGGTTTAGGTTTATGGTTACTGGTTAGGATTAGGTTTAAGTTTAGGGTTATGGTTAGGATTAGCCCTAGTACTATAGCCCGCGTACAGTTGCCGCAGGGCTATAGAACATTCTATTACGAATGCTAGGGACCAACTTATTCACGGTTACTTGGCTATAAAATGTCTGTGGTAGGCAATTAAATTTAAATGCCTCTTATCCGAGGTGAATATGTCTTAAAGCAGGGGTGGGCAAACTGCGGCCCGCAGGGCGCATGCGGCCCTCTACGGGGTTCTGTGCGGCCCGCGGAAGCCTGCAGCAAATAAAAATTTTTTTTTTTTTAAATCAATAAATTTTTGTGAACGTCAACATGTTTGTGCTTGAACCGAGGCTGACTTTTTCAGTGTCATACAGATTAGTGTTCTATTGTCTCTGGTTCGCTCTGCAATGCCATTTCAGCTAATTATGGTCCAGAGATGGCGCCCTTGAGGCGAAACGCACGTATTATCTTAGAGCGCACCGCCCGATTTTAGAAGGTGCGGCCCTTTGACTTTTCATGGCCCACTGATGCGGCCCTCGCTTTGAAAAGTTTGCCCACCACTGTCTTAAAGTGATTACGTCACCGTAAATACTAAAAATTAAAAAAAATATTTCCACTTTTTCACAAAATATAAGTAATTCTGTTCACTTTTTATGGTTAAATTGCTGCATTATACTTTTATTTAATATATTGTTCGATGTGAACATACACTCGTGACTCATACATAGCCCATAGCAAGCAATTAATGTCAGGAACCAGCCTAAAAAATACTTTTTTTATTACGAGAGCTCTTTTTTGATTTTGTATGAAAAAAAGAGCTCTCGTAATTTTGTTTACGAGAGCTATTTTAAGCTTGACCAGAGCTACTTTTTCATAGCATGATTTTGTTAAAATTTTCATAATTTTGATGCACTGACTCTAATAATGTCTCAGAAGCCAGAAATTGTGTCTAATTATCGTAAAGGTGTTTCCCAAACAAAAGTCAAGATTATGCTTTGGCGATGTGGTGACAAAACCACGGAGGCNACAAAAGCTACCTAATAAACTATGCCACCTCTACATTCCACTGAGGCCGCATGTTGTACAGATATCTCGGGTATTAAATGGTAAAGTAAAATAGTGGGGTAAAAATACATTAACTTTGTATTTTTACAAAATAACTTCACATGCATGTACAGTTATGTACACATGTACAAATTAGTACAAGTTTTTTGCCATCATGCTACCGGATGGGACTTTAGGTGATGCCGAAAATCCCTTTTTAATTTGTGCATCAACATGAAGTTATTGCACAAGAATACTAAGTTAACAGGTTTATCTACCAGTACCACCACTTTACCCTACAATTAAAGCCCTGCCACTTCTGAAGGAAATTAGGTTCGCCGGAGCTTGACAAGTGGCGTTGTTTGTTAAGTCACAGGCACTTGGAACATCTCAATTAAAAAAAAGAAGGTAAATAAACACGAAATGTATTTACTACCAAAGTCTTAATGTTTCTCTACTCTAATTCGCCTATTATTGCCGATAATTACCCGTAAATGCCGGTCAAATTCTCATTTGCAACACACAAGTACACCGCACGTCCGCCCTGTGCACAAAAAGCATGAATAAGAGAGCTGGTAGGAAAGCGTGATCGCTCGACGCTCGCTTCATTTCACACGACTACAGAACGAAAACACACCAAACAGCCTCCATCTTGGTATCTATCTGTAGCTAAATGTTCACTTGTTCAAATTATAACTCTTTCCTTTGTTCTTACCTACTCGCGCCAGAGATATCTCGTGAAATCTTGCAGGAAATGTTCTCTCCGTGAAAATGTAAAGAGGACGCATCATCCGAAAATCCCTAACCGCGCTACTTTCGATCGATCACTGTAGTCGTGTGTGTGTGATGTCATGCCCGTGCGCATTATGCTTGGCTTGGCGGCAGGGTGAAAAACTGATAATTGGAGGTACTGGTCCAGCAGGACCAGTGCCTCTGAGGAAGCACTGGTCCTGGTCAGTAGGCACTGGTCCAGGATTTCTGTCGTAGCAAAGTGAATGACTCGGATGTGGGGACGTTTTTATATAGGGGGATGGTGCAATTTGGTGATGTGCATTCTAAGGTATTCTTAAAAATTATATTTTTTAGTCGTTTTGTAACACTGATGCGTAGTAAATCGGAACAAGTCCGCAAGTCGATTTCAAAGATCAGCGGTCTCTGAAGACCACCCATTATTCCTATAAATTATCATATTTTATTACGCGATTGCTGTTGGTCGGGGATGTCCGGTGATATCTAATCATTTTTTTGATAGTGTATGAAAAAAAGAGCTCTCGTAATTTTTTTACGGGAGCTATTTTAGGCTTGGCCAGAGCTACTCAGCATTCAACATTCAGCACCAGTATCAGACTATCAGTGTTAAGAAATCGTCAACAAATTGCATTCGATCACTTTTTTTAAATCTCATTTCACTCGACTAAGAAACCAATCACATTCTTATTCAATTTAATTCACACAGGCAGACATGCACTATATACACTGTATACACAGTACACATAGTTTTTAGTTACTTTGAGTATGTTAAAAAAACTTGTACTGGAATCTCTAGGAATGCCGGGAGCTTCTGGGCAAGGTTTTACTTTCGTTTTTCTCCTCCCCAGTCCACGGTACCCCCATGCATAGATCAATGCTGCCGCACGTCCGCAAAGTTACAAGTGTCTAGAATCTTTAAGTATATACAGTTTACATTGCTTCTAGATATCTAACTGAATAAAAATAGTCCACTTTCGCATTCCACTTTCCAATACTTGAATAGTCCACATGAAAAGTGACGAATTCAGTTAACAGCTTTGATTACGTGCGTGTCAGGTGTCACTGGTCGTGCCCTCACCCCCCACGATAACACCTGCGATATAAAAACTTATTGTTATGGGTAATATGCGGTCATAAAAACACTCGGCTGCACTACCTGCCGGCCGCAATCGATTTCTTAGACCGTCGCGAGTTTTTGTTCGTGTGGCGAATTATGCGTTGAGGGAGTTCATGCAGCTCTAGAAGGTTTGGATACCCCGTCTACGTTGAGGAACGGGTCGTGTTATGTGCTCCCGTTTACAAGTCTGTATTTTTTCGCTGCTGTGCGGCGATTATCTAGTCGCCCCGCCGGACCAGTTGACACAAGCAAGCAGTCGCCCGGTAGATTTTCTAATCGCCACTGGCGACTGGGCGACCGCTAGTTTCTCACGCTGCTTGGCGGGCCTCGAAACGGAGGCTCAGAGGCATGCAGCAGCTCATCCCGGCATGCAATGCGCCCCATTACTCGTGTATAAACAGACATCTCGT